ATTTATTTTAAGAAATAACTTAACACTCGCATAAGTTCTCAAGAACATACCTTTCCAACGAGGGCAGGTCCAATAATAGTGTTGACATTGCTCACCGCCTACAAGAACATACATAGAAAAATAAAACATCAGTGGCCTATAAATTGATCTGGGAAGAACAAAGTAACAGACTATCCAAAACGAACACTAACAACCTTTGAGACACCTTTACCAAGGTAGTCCGATCCTCCATCTCGCAGTTCCAGGGCCTCGTAAATTCCTAAAATAAAAGTATACATTTCAATATATACATATATGTGTGTGTGTGATTCATATCTCTGTGAAACACACAAGAGATTCAAATTTCCGGCATACAATATCTCAACTCTTGTACATGGTCTTGACGAAACAAAACTAGATTCAGTTGAATGAGCAATCGAAGTTTCATCACGATACTCATGCAAACACCCACAGACAGACATTGGGATAATTATATTCACTATTCGATGATGAAATTGAATCATACACACACCCACACACAGATAGTGGGAGAATATAAGCGAAGGGTGCATGATTAACAGGATCTTACCAGTGGATGCACCACTAGGAACAGCAGCTCTAGCACATATTCCGTTCGATGTGTGCACATCAACCTGCAATTATTTGCAACAGTCAAACAATACTACAGTGGGAATATACAAGCAATTCGGGCAAACGATAACAAATTCGCATGTCATCGAAAAACAAAAAACCAACCTAATTTAAAACAGAAATTGTTTTACCAGAAAAACAACAACAAAATCTGATCGATGATACAGATTATATGGAAAATGGTAAAGGGCGAACCTCGACCGTGGGATTACCACGGCTATCGAAGATCTGGCGAGCATGGACGCTCTTGATAGTCGCCATTGATCAGAGTTTTAGATCTGGAGATAGAGAGAGAGAGAGAGAGAGAGAGAGAGAGAGAGAGAGAGAGGCTTCAAGGAGCTTAGAGTGAGAAAAAATAGGAGTGGAAACTAAGAACAGGCTTTGTATTTGTAGAAGGGTTTAGACTAATTATAGCCGTTGATTTTGATGCGATTGAGGTTGTTTGGGCAACAAGAAATAGTTCGAACATTTTTTTCTGTGTGCTTAAACCTTGTGCTTAGGGCATCTCCAATGGTAATAGTTATTACTAGCTATATGGTCAGCTGACGTGGATGTGAGAGATAAGAAAAATGACTATTTTACACTAGTGGACCCACATACTCCTCTCAC